CTCCTTCCCTCCGGTGGAGGTGGGGGAAGGGGGAGTCGTTCTGTTTAACCCTGAGTTCCCCGAACCCACTCTAATTTGCTAAATTGGCAGTTTGCTAATTCCTTCTTTCACTTTCCTTCCTCTGGCTCACTTCCTTCCCTTATACCCAAGTGTGGTTTATATGCAATGCAAATTGGAGCGAGCCCTAACCCTAACCCTAACCTCTTACTGCTCCCCACTTTTTTCATCCTTTTACACTGCTTTCCAGTGAACTCTGCAAATTTTGCAATAAGGAGAGGGATTTTTTAAATTGCATTTGCAAAGTTAGGTATCTGGGCAGACGGGGGGGTAGGGAGGGAGCAGGCCCCGCCCCTACCGCCCTTTGCAAATAAAAATCTAGAAGGGGGGGAGGAGCAGGAAGTGGCGGTGCGAGGGCTGCTGCACAGCTAGCAGAGCCGCGGTCCGGACGGCAGCGCGTGCCCCGAGCTCTCCGCCTCCCCCCGCCCGCCAGCCAGAGGCAGCCCGAGCCCAGCCCGCGGCCCCAGCAGCAGCGCCGAGAGCAGCCCCAGTAGCAGCGCCATGGCCGGGTGGAACGCCTACATCGACAACCTCATGGCGGACGGGACCTGTCAGGACGCGGCCATCGTGGGGTATAAGGACTCGCCCACCGTCTGGGCCGCCGTCCCCGGGAAAACCTTCGTCAACATCACGGTACTGCGAGACCTGCGCGCTCCGGGGGACTGGCAGAGCTTGGACCCTGAGGGAGGGACTCGGGTGGGGGCGGGTGCGATCTGGGAAGGGCAGCGAAAGGCCATGACCCGGTCCTTGTCCTGGAAACGGCGCGAATGGCGGCTGCACGTGAGAGGGTCCGTCTGTTGCCCCTAAGTCCTACGCCCCAGGCGGCGTCTCCCATCCAGCCCGCCGCCCCGCTTTCCGCGACGGGGCGTTACATCCGGGGCACAGGGCGGGGAGGGGCGCGCCGCCCGGTGCGGCGGCCCACTTCCGCCTCGTTCAGGGCGGGGCGGGCACGCGCTGCAGTTTCAACCGGGGATTGTGATTGAGAAGGGGCTTGGGGATCCCTGGACCCCCAGTTCCACTTCCGGCCGCCAACTCGTGCCCCCTCCACCATTGTTCCCCCTTATGAGGGCGGGAGCGTGGCCGGGGTTCCATGCGGGGCCTGTGAGCTCTCTACTCCTCCCAACTCAGTTGAAGAAGGCAAGGCCGCCTCACGCCCCCCC